TGAACTTGAGACATACTGTTGCAATTGCCAAGACCATGACCGGATCGAGAATAGGCCAAAAATCTAAAAAAAAAGGAAATGTTAACTTGGTTTTATTTTTAGGACAATTTTATACACAAACCACAAACAATGTGTCTTGACTTGAATATGAATATTTCTGTTTTTAGTTGTTCGATCATAGGATTCGAACCTTGGACAGGAAGTTATAATCGTTTAGTACCTTAATTAATCATGCTCATTCTCAAATCCAGGGGGAATTTTTTCTACCCTAAAATCCGATCATCTCAACCTTGAGATACATAAAAGTAAAAATAAAAATAAAAAACTAAAAAAAATAAAAAGAAGAAGAAAAAGAAAAAAGAGAGACTTCAAGTCTTAGAAATAGTGTATCTTATAATGCATTATCTAGACCGTTAATTTTTAAGATTTTCAAATGTTCATATATCTGCTTGATCTATATTATTTTTTAAGATGTGAATTTTATAATGGGTGTGGTTTCTATAAGGTTACAACCTTAAAAAATCCAACTAAGGCGCACCTCCAAAAGTTATCCTAACAAGTAATTTATATGTAAATAATTCTTAGGGTCATCTGAAAATCTATTTTCATCTCTAATTATAAATTTTGAACTCCAAAAACAGTTAAAATTAAGTAGATCTATAAACATATGAAAATCTTGAAAATGGGCGGTCTAGATAATGTGTTGCAAGGTGCACTATTTCTGGGACTCAATTTTATTTATTTATTTCATATTCATATATATCTCGACAAGAGATTGATTAATTTGAAGGTTTTTCAAGACTAAGACAACTTTTTCCAATGGATTTTTGGGGTGCATCTTTAATTCTACATTTTAAGGTTGCAACCTTATATAAACTTTTTCTTTCTCATAATTAGAGATGAAAATAAATTTTCAAACCATCATAAAGATTTTCGACACTAAAATCATATCTTTCGACGCTATTTGAAGGTGCACCTTACTTTGATTATTTAAGGCATCGGTCTTATACAAACCGCACCCTTAAGAAAATTATCTTTTTAATAATTAATTCAGCAGTAGGATTTGAACTTGAGACATTGCAACATACATTTACAATGGTCAAAACCTTGACCGGATCGAGAATAGGCCAGAAATCTAAAAAGAAAGGAAAGGTTAACTTGGTTTTATTTTTAGGACAATTTTATAAACAAACCACAAACAATGTGTCTTGACTTGAATATGAAAATTTCTTTTTTTAGTTGTTCAATCATAGGATTCAAACCTTGGACAGGACGTTATAATCGTTTAGTACCTTAATTAATCATGCTCAATCTCAAATCCAGAAGATAATTTTTCCTATCCTAAAATCCGATCATCTCAACCTTGAGATACATAAACGTAAAAATAAAAAATAAAAAAAAAATAAAAAAAAGAGAAGAAGAAAAAAAAAAAGAGGGACTTCAAATCTTCGAAATAGTGTATCTTATAATCCATTATCTAGATCGTCAATTTTCAAGATTTTCAAATGTTCATATATCTGTTTGGTCTACATTATTAATTTATAATGGGTGTGGTTTCTATAAGGTTACAACCTTAAGCAATCCAATTAAGGCACACCTCCAAATTTTATCATAATATATAATTTTAGTTTAAAAAATTCTTAGGATTATCTAAAAATTGATTTTCATGTCTAATTATAAAATTTGAACTCCAAAAAAGGTTAAAATTAAGTAGATCTATAAACCTATGAAAATCTTAAAAATGGGTAGTCTAGATAATGTGTTGTAAGGTGCACTATTTTTGGGACTCAATTTTTTTTTTTTCACATTCATATATCTCGACAAGGAGATGATTGATTTGAGGGTTTTTCAACACTAAGATAACCTTTCCCAATGGATTTTTGGGGTGCATCTTTAATTCTACATTTGAAGTTTGCAACCTTATATAAACGTTTTCTTTGTTGTAATTAGGGGTGAAAATAAATTTTCAGACCATCATAAAGATTTTCGTCACTAAAACCATTATCTTTCGACCCTATCTAAAGGTGCACCTTACTTTGATTGTTTAGGGCATCAGCCTTATACAAACCACACCCTTAAGTAAATTATATTTTAATAATCAATTCAGCTGTAGGATTTTATCCTTGAGACATACTGTTGCAATTGCCAAGACCTTGACCGGATCGAGAATAGGCGAGAAATCTAAAAAGAAAGGAAAAGTTAACTTGGTTTTTTTTTTAAGACAATTTTATATACAAACCACAAACAATGTGTCTTGACTTGAATATGAATATTTCTTTTTTTAGTTGTTCAATCGTAAGATTCGAACCTTGAACAGGAAGTTATAATCGTTTAGTACTTTAATTAATCATGGTCAATCTCAAATCCATAAGATAATTTTTCCTACTTCCAAATTTTTTTGAAAACTACCTAGCATCCTAGAAATATGCAATGACCTTTTAGCCTTTTATAAATCCTCCATCAAAAAGGTATGCTAGTAAAGAAACTATAAAGTGATAAATGTCTCATGGCCAAGTTTTCTATCCTTCCCCTACAACATAAAACTTATATATTTCTTCGTATCCAACAGTCCATTCTGAATGGAGGGCTCAGATTGCCCCAATCACAATGTCATATCTCTACAGTATTTTATTTTTAATTTTTTTATAAACTATTTTAACACTAAATTTTGTAATTTCAATTCTCTATTAAACTCACACTAGCAAAAAATATAGAAACAATACTTCCAATAAAATAAGATGATGAAAATACCACTGAAAGTTTCAAAGGGTATTTTGATCATTATATTTTATCAAAAAAATATTTTTAATATTTTTTATAGGTACACTCCAATGAGAAAATTGAACGTACCAAATTTTATATTCATATAATTTGTATAAAAAAAATTAAAAATAAAATAATTTGAGATGCCGGATATAAGATAAAATGGTGTGTGGCTTTCTTGATCAAAATTGGATGGCTGGATGGTAGAGGAAGCATAGATCTTCAATGCTGTAGGGGAAATATAGAAACCTTTCCCATGTTTTATATACTGATTGTATGAGTTGCAGAACTCATCTGTGCCACCATTATCGTGTGTGTGGCCATGGGGCCTTTAAATGTGTAATTTTTATATCTCTTATAGTTTAATGCTTATCACTAAAATATGGAGGCTTCTTAAAGTGAGAAATTGCCATTGTCTAACGGTTTGAAAGTAACTACCAACTTCTCAAGATTACAGGGCTACGTTTTCTTAGAGATTTCAGGAGGAAGCCGAACGTTGGAGAACGACCTCCTCCATCCCTCTTTAAGAAGGGTTTCATGGCCATGGAGAGGTACACAGAAATTTACAGAACTCTCATAGTTCTGGTAAAAGCCTAATCTTTACGATCAATAGTCTCACGACACTGCCCCTAATCCTGGGAGTGATCCATCTATTCCCTCAAGATTTCAACATTGGTATCAGAGTGGGTTGTAGAAGTGGGGTGGGCTCATAACCTACAGATCCCAGGTTCTATGTTTCGTTTTTATTGGTATTTTATCCTGAGTTTAATTTACAATAATTTTGATATGGGCTTTGCCATTCACATATATCTTGCTGTAAATTTTTTATTCTCAATTTTGGCTCTCTACTGCTGTCGCTTGAGCTATGAATCACAATTGCATGAGTCGTAATTTTTTCCATTGTTGACGATTTTTGGTGCACAGTACCTTACTACCCCTATCTTGACGCTCATACATAGGTACTACCCCTATCTTGACGCTCATACATATTGGAAGATAACATTATTGATAATTTAACAACCTTGACGCTTTTATTGATAAATTTATTGATAAAATTATTGATTCATTGTTATTTATTCATAAATATCTTTTTTCTTTTTTTTTCATAATCCTCTACTCTTAATTCACCTTTTTGCCTACGTGATTCATGTATATCTTGTTGACTCATTGTTCTTGATTCACATATATCTTATTGATAAGGTTATTGACGCTCATACATAGATAGCCATTGTATGATTCATTGTTCCTGGGTGTAGCAAGTCGGTGACTGATAGGTAGGAGATCTCGTATATAGCGGGATAGATATTTAGCTCTTGCAGTGAATTAATATTTACCCAAGCAGAAGTTCAACGTATATTTTTTTTTTTGGGAAGCCCTTTTTGAACGTTTTTTTTTTACTTTTTCATTGAATATCACAATAAAACTAACTGCAATTCAATAAATATCAGTGAATTTCAGGCCCCTTTTTTTTTCTTTGCTCTTCTTTAACTCAAAAAGAGTTCGCTCTTTTTGTTTTGGAAACCTCGTGCACATAGCAACCACTCACTTGAACCACTTGGCCAAAGTGAAGTGGTAAATCTCTCTCTAATTTTTACAATTATAATGATAAAATAAAATAAAATAAAATTAACTATAAAATGTACTATTTAATTTTAGAGAGAGAGATATAGAGTTACTACTGTAATTTTAGAGAGAGAGAGGCAAAGAGACATATAATTGCTGAAAATCAGTTGGCTTGCACCTTTCTTTCTTCCATATTTTATTACTGAAAATTAGTACATAATTTTATTGGACTATTGAAAATTGTTATGCACGCAACAACTATTCAAGTAAAGGTTGTTATATCGATTGTATGCATTTTTTTTTTTTGTGGCTTATAATTTAGGGATTTTATACATATTTTATTTACATAATAATTGTCATTGCATGTATAATGATCCTATGCTTTGGTCTCTTTAAGTTAGAAAATTTCATGATCTTGATTTTGTGAATTCATTTTTTGTGATTATGTTATGATATATTTTTTGTTGAAAAATATCAAATATCATTGTAGACTCTCTCTCGTGCTAAGACATATTCACATATTTATGAATATTTTTTACGGAATTGGATATATAAGATTTTAGATTTTTAATTTTTTTTACTAAGGGTGTCTGTACCCCATCCCCCCTGTTTTCTTTCTTCTGACTTTTTCTAAGTGATAATTGACCAAATTGCCCCCTTAAACTCTTTCTATCTCATCTTACTGGTATAAGGAAACTTAGAGAGAGAAACCGAATCCTCATGGGTGTTGATTCACCGAGTACCATCGACCATATTCATAGATATTGAATCAGTGTGGTGTAGAGCTCGGAGATAATCATAGAGAGCAGAAGCTAGTTGATGGCAATAATGAACTGCTTGCTTCATCCAGCATCTTCCCTCTCTTCAGCAACCTACTTTTTCTTCATTTGTACACCTTCAAAGATCCACGCTCCATTTCTCGTTAGGCTACATTTAGGGAGAGAAACACCAGTTTTGGAGGTTGAAAGAGGATGAATAGTGGGTGTTTGGGGTGGATTTCCAGTTTTGTGGTGACATGATGTAGAAATGGCAGTTTTTGGAGAGGCAATTCTGGTTTGTGGTTTGTGGATTGGATGGTGCTGAGGGAGGGAGGGAGGCAGAGAGCGAGCATCTGAGAGTGAATACATCTGAGAGGGAGGCCGGGAGGTTGCATCTGAGAGTGAATACAATCTGATCCAAAGGGAGAGAGCATCTGAGGCAATGTCTCTATTGTCTTCACTCGGGTCAGATTGTTTGTCCTACAACCCTGGAAGATCCTTTGATTCCGCTCTTTCAACTTGTGTCATGGAATCGTTGGAGGCAAGGCTGCCATGATAGACACTGTTTCCAACAAGTAGGAGAGATACCACTGAAGAAAAAAGTTCAGAGGAAGTCCTTTTTAGGATTTAAGTCAGTTGGAATCCAAAAACGTCATCCTTGGATAAAAAATGATTTCCACAAGTACCTCCATAGAAGAATGCATTATGTATTTTTCTTAAGTAGTTTCACTCCTACAAATGATCAATAGAAGTCTCTCAACCCGTGCTCCAAATCATGAAGCATGATCCTAAATTCCTAATTGTTTATTTTCTTATTTTTCCCATAGTCCCTTGTCTGTCAAATGCTTTTGTGACGTAACAAAGTTCCTACACCCATTTTTATGCACCAAGAGATGCAAAATAATTAAACTATACAGGGCTATGGGGGGCAAAGCTCAAAAAGGTTACAAAAAGGTCTCCGGTGTGTTTCCTGAGAGTGCTTCGTCATTAGTGAGGCTATCAGCTTCTGAATTTTCTTTTTGCCATGTATGTTGCCAAAAGGTTTAAGATTTCATATATCGATAATACCGATTGCATATGAGGTAGGAACTGTTAGAACTTAGAAATTATTGATTATTTTTGTATTGCTATTAATATTTATGGATTTTAAGTTCAAACTCTGTTTTTCTTAAATGATCCATCTCCATTTGTTTTCGACCAATTTGGTTCTTTTTCCTTTGCTGCATTTATATTTTGTGGGTAATGCAGCTTTCTAGTCTTCAGTTGGTAAACTGCATTCTATCAAAGCTTATTTTACCTTAGGTTCAACAAGTCTAAATGACAACATTACAAGGTGTTATTTCTGAATTTTTCTTTGGACAGGACCTTTACATTCATGTTGGTTGGCCTTTGTACCGAAAATATGGACATGCTTTTGAGGCAACCTTCTTCTTGTATGAAATGAATGTTTGCAATGTTTGATGAATAACTCAAAAACTTTTTCTGAGTTATCAGGCATTCAAGGTGATTGTAACTGACCCTGATTCAGTTCTAAATTCCCTCAGCCTGGAAGTCAGAGGAATTGGACCTGATGGACAGGAGGTAATGCTATGCATAACTGCCATTTTTTTCTTTTCTGTTTGTCTTTTCCGGTAGCACTACTCGCTTTAAGGTGTTCTTCTTGTAGGTTACAAGGGTGGTGCCAGCAATGACAGAAGAGGTCAAAGATGCTTTAGTAAGAAATATTCGAAAGGCGTATGACCCCACAACCATTGAAGATACGGGCGGATATCGAGATGAAATGTTTCCAATATGATGGGGTTCTTCATATTAAGGTCTGTGTTTTGTCCATGTCTGATTGAGGAGCTTCACCTTGATGGAATCTGCATCTCTATTAGTTAATTTCGTTACTTTTGAATAGGGTATTCTGAAGTGTTTTTTTAAACAAGGCATTGACTGACTCACTCTTCAATGAAGCCGGCATTTGGAGACATGAAACAATTTAAAATGGGTCATAGTTTGGTTATTATCAGTCATAATTGCTTTGAAGACTTGTAGTTTGGGCTTCATGATTTACTCAGCCATGGAATTGGAGCAACTTAGGTTGCCTGACATTTGATATTTTGAGAAGCGGTTTATCTTAAATGAATATTTGGCAAGTTTGAAAGCCCACTTAAATATGCTTATCTGGAAGTTCAAAAACTGTTCCTCTGCCCTAGAACCGCCCAAAATTTATCAATTTTGCTTTGAGCAAATTTGAGAAGTTCGTATAATCATTCAAAACCTTGCGATGTCTTATTGCAATCAATTTTAGGGTCCAAATGAGGTTCTTAAAAGACTTTTGGGGTGATTTTAAGCTTGCTAGACAACTGAAATATTGAAGATAGAAATCCAAAATATTGAATAATTAAAGATCTCCTCTTTCTTTTCATTTTCAGAGCATCTTTTGTACAACATCATTTCGTATTGGTCATTTGGTTTATTGGAGACTTGGAGTTTGTGAGTATGATTCTATGAGTATATAAAGTATGGTGTGTACTTGTGTTTTTTTTTTCTTCACTATTTTAATTATTCAAAGAAGCAAAATTTTCAGTAATTTGAACGTGTTTCATATTCATGTGCATATATGTGTATAAAAAAGGTTGTTAGAATATATGTAAATGCATAAATATACATATTTAACACATACAGGTATATATGTGCATTTGGATCGCACATATTATATGTATTATCTTGCACAGTGCTTGAGGTTCTAGGCGGCTGCCTAGGGGCCAGGTGGCCTATATACCCCCATTCCGAGAAAAAAAAAAAAAAAACACTCCCTGATTCCCCCGGCTTTTTTATTTTTGGAGCCTTGAGTAAGTCTTTCAAGATTGATGTTTTTCATTGTTGATTGTGTACTTGATTGCATGCGTTGTGCTTGTAATGCATATCATCGTGTACATTCTACCTCTATATCGAAAAGATATATAAAGGTTATGAGGTTGAAAATATGAATTTGATAAGAAGTTTGTTTTCTTGTCCGCACGCATTTCTACAGAGTGGATCGTGCCCATTCATTTCTTGCTAATTATCTCATTGAACCTGAAAGGTGTATTATTTTTAAACTGGAAATGATGAGCCACATATAGTGCCCTTGATCCGAATCTTTGGTGTAACTTTTAGATAGAGAAAAGTTCAAATGTGCTCCTATTAAAATGTGGTCCTCTTCCAAAAGTTTGTCTTAGAGATGGATTTAGAGTCCAAAGTATCACTCTAGATGCACTTTGGCATTAGACTCATGATTTGCAGCTCATAAACAGTGTATATCTGGTGATTTTTGCAGAATTAGAATTAACAGTGCAAAAGTTAAATTTTCAGTAATCTATTTTTAAGGTTCAAATTCATGCACCCTTATTTTTAGGTCCAAAATCCTTCTTTAACATGGTTTTTGCGAAGAGACTGCATTTGAGTAGGTGCGTTTGGCCGATGCACCAAAATCCTCTCCTTTTAGATACTCTTACTCCTCAAATGTGTAAAACCATGTGAGTGAAACATTATCTAATTTTAGGAATCAAAATTCATCTATCTCTGTTTTGAGTGACCTTCCATGGTATCATGGAGCAAGATCAGATTGTCTCCTTCAAGAAATTCCCCATCATGAAGTATATCTATTATAGGGGCTTATTGTATTTCCATTTGTTCTATGACCTGTATTAGCTGAAGCCGCAGGTTTCAAAAGTTGCTCTACCTTTTTGACAACAGATTTCAAGGTCAGTAATAATTAATATTAGTGTCGCTCTCCGAATCTCTCTCCCTCGATGTTACCAGATGCCTGGCCATCATTGTGCGGACTAACTCCTCACTTAACATACTATTTGTGAAAATTATCTCCACTTTATGTATCACTCCTTTTTGATGAAAAGATATCAAAGGTTAGTTCTTTCTAACTGGCACTGAATCTTATATTTGTGAATTCCTTCTTTCTTGCTCAACATTTATCCTACTTGAACTCGTTTTCCTTGAGTTTAAGACCTTCATGATTCAGAACTCATTTATTGCTGGAGCCAAAGGTTCTCGTGATTATTGGTTTATAATGCTTTGCTTTCATAGACTCATTTGATGTTCATAACGTGCCAATTAACTTCATCTCACTTGTTTCTGTATTATTTTTTGTTGTGAATATATACTAGTTCAAGTCAAACCTGGAATGAACAAGATACGGTTATTTACTCTAGATTATTTATTGGTTGAGATGTACAACAATTGATCTTCCCAATTGGAAAATTGTCTGGGCTTTAAGTTTTCTGGCCTCTTGTCGATATTATGGCTCCACTATTCTCGATGGTATTCGATGGCTCTGTGATTGCTTTGGACAGGAGCAAGGCATACATGTTCTAAATGCTGCCATCAAAGCTTCCACTGAAGCAATAGACCTACACAAGGGGAAACTTACTGTCAAGGAGGCTCCTAGAGCTGTGAGTTCCCTCATTCCAATTGTGTATTTTATAAATGTGTGTGTGTGCATGCATGCACACACGCGCACGTTCTGACTTCCAATCTTGAGCTTTTTTGGAAGTAATTTGCCTTGGGGGTTGTTTTTTTCATTCATGTAAAGTTTTGAGAAAACACATAAATGACTTGCATGTTAGCCTTCTAGCAGTTGGCCGCCGAGTGACCATGACAAAACTATAATAATATCATACAAAAATATAATTTTTGGAATATTTTTGCAAAGCTACTACTGAAATGGCCCTTTATGATTATAGGAGAGCGAGCATGATGACAAGCTTCTTGCCGAGCACATGGCGAAGCTGAGGGCTGATAATGAAGAGGTCAGCGGTGATGAGGAAACTGAAGAAGAGGAAGATATAGGGATGGGCGAGATTGATCTTGATAATGCTGGTGTGACTGAGTAGATTATAAGACACAAATCGAAAAGGAAAAATTAGCTGATTTTATTGAATTTACGTGTATAGAACAGCCCCAATTTGTGCTGCTCGTGATTAAGGTTACATTTGTTATTTTCATTGAAGTTTGCGGTGGCAGATTTATCTGCCTTGTATGGAATTTGTGATCCTGAGATTTTGTTAAGAGCTCTTCAGTTTTCGTGTCATTTGGATATTCTACATGAATTACCTATTAATTTAAGACTTATCTCAAAAAACATTTTACATATAAATTGTAGAGAGGTTTGGGATGCCATATGGAGGAACTCCCTAACATTGACTTGAGTGTAATTTTACAAATGGGAAACAGATTATTGTAAACAATTAAGACCAATTATTTACATGAAGGTCACAAACTCTCTTATGTGATATTTGGCAGCTAGGTGTATCACAAAGTTGAAAGACAAAATTTTTGGACTTTGGGATACATCTGTTGTCTAACATTACGTGTGACCAATGTGAAATTTGTGGCTAGGTGTATCACAAAGTTCAAGATGATGGCATTGAGCAGCATTTCCTGTCTAATTTGGCATCTAACATCTGATGTTAATAGTATCTGATTGTAATTTGGCTAGTTGGAAGAGCTTTTTTTTGACTTGGGAGCATTGAGCAGTAATTTCACATCGAACTGCCAAAACGTGAAGTATGACCTACTTGTACCAACTATAATACCCTTTTCCTCCGCCAAAAGCAATGTTTTTTTTGTTTTTATGGAGAGAATAATGCGTGATTAGTTTGGCAAGTCTTTCCTTCTTGCCAATTTGTGTGCCCTCTCATATGCATAGGATAGGATCTTGTAACAAGCTAAGAATCAAAATTCCAAAGATTTGAGAAGCCGTATTCCAACCACACTTAGAAATTCTAGTCCTCAAATGAAATATGCTTTAAGACTTTCCACACAATGACTCTCTCTACACCCCATGGAGACAAAAGCGAAGAATCAACCCTTGAATGTGACATGCTATCTTCTCTGATCAATCCTTGGGTCTCAAAATTCCTCACTTCAATGTTATATATATATATATATATATATAGAAAAATCTTCCCAACACACATAAGCGAAAATGAACAGTGATTTCGCTTACTTTCATCACCGTCCAAAGTTCATCACACGGTCAAGATTGTCCGATAGTGTTTTATTTTTCATTTTTTTCGACAAATCAGAATGAGATGAAATTTGGAGTGTATGTACATTTTAGTGAGGTGCACCTAATAAACATATAAAAATAATAATTCACAAACAAATTTGACCAAAATACCACTTAAACTTTTGGAGGTATTTTGGTCAATTTATTTCATGTAAAATTTTTTTTTGATATTTTTCATAGAATTGTTTATTTTTTACCAATACACGATTCAAATTTCAGATCATTCCAATTTGTAGAAAAAAAAAATGAAAAATGAAACATTACCAGACAATCGTGACCGTGCGATGAACTTTTGATGGTGATGAGGGTAGGCGAAATCACTGTTCATTTTCAACTATAGGCATTTTGTAGTATCTTCCTATATCATTCCAATTTGTAGAAAAAAAAATGAAAAATGAAACATTACCAGACAATCGTGACCGTGCAATGAACTTTTGATGGTGATGAGGGTAGGCGAAATCACTGCTCATTTTCTAACTATAGGCATTTGTTAGTATCTTCCTATATATATATATATATATATGAAAAATTATATATAGAGCCGAAGCTTTAAACAATCAAATTTTGAGCCTACCTTATTAAGATGTAGGCTCTAAACAATCAAAGTTCATAAAAAACTCAGAAAATAATATTCCAACAAAAGTTCCCATTTCTTTGTTAAAAAGTGAAAGATTAAGTTATTAAGATGGTAAGAATTTAATCTTTAATAACTTTTTTTGTTGATCACTATTCACTATGCATAATATAAATACATAATATTAGTATTATTAATATGATATAATATAATATTATAATTTATTATATTATATTATATATTTATTTATTTTATGAATACAATTTATAATATATAGTATACATTGACTATTTATTATATGTAATATATAATATATATTATATATAATATATTTATTATATTAAATGAGAGAAATGATCCTATAGGATCCTCGTGTAGGATCCCCAAAAGATTACCATTAAAGTTGGTATAGATCTTTAGAAGAGTCAAGTTCCACACTCATGTGATAACTTTTCTAGATATTTGTGCCAACTTTAATGTTGATCCTTTAAGGTCCTACACACATAGGTGGGGGAGGGTCATATGAGATCATTACTCATTAAATAAATATATAATATAACATCATGAGAGTAATGATCCTATGAGACCCTCCCACATTCATTTATGTAGGACCCCAAATAATCACCATTAAATTTGTCACAGATCTCTAGAAAAGTTATCACATGGGTGTAAGACTTGACTTTTCTAGAGATTTGTGTCAAATTTAATGGTAATTCTTTGGAGTTCTACACACATGGGTGTGGGAGGGTCTCATAAGATTATTACTCATATAATAAATAAGAGTAATGATCCTATGAGACCCTCCTACACCCATGTATGTAGGACCCCAAAGGATTAACATTAAATTTGATATTTCTAAAAAAATTATCACATGGGTGTGAGACTTGATTTTTCTAGAGATATGTGCTAAATTTAACGGTGATCCATTGGGGTCCTACACACATGTATGTGGGCGGATCTCATAGGATCATTACTCAGTAAAGAATAATATAAATATTATATACATAATATACAAATATGTTATATTATACTATATATTATATATATGATATAAATATCTCATATTATATTATATGTTATATATAATACAAATATATTAATAAAATATATTATATTATATATTATATTATATTATATATTTATATTTATATGGTTAATATCTATACGTTATCAAATACAGTATCCAGAACTTTCTTACTATTCTATCAAGTTATCAAACACAGTATCCAGAACTTATTTAAACATTTTAAAACAAAACATTAAACTTTTCAAAAAATTTAAAAATATTAAATTTTTCAAAAGATATCTTTTAAAAAAAACAAACGCGCCTCAACAGATAACCTACATCCTTTAATGTGAGATCCAACGGAGCACTACATCTAAAAGATCTAAGATTCAAATGTTGAGAGAGAGAGAGGTGATTCCTGCAGCATCACCAGGGCCTGTTGGGTTCGACGAGGTGAGGCAATACTAATCGCTCTGAAAACTAAAATTAGCAGGCCTTTGAAGTATTCCTGTAATCTCCGCTCTCCTTTTTTTTTAATATATTAGGAAAATTTATCCAAATATTCATGGGAGATGAATTATTTAACATCTTACCTATATCGTTTTTATTTAATTTTAATACCCATAAAATTACATTTGAAATGGTTGCAATTGAATAAAATGTTAAATAGCTCTCGGAAAATATTTTGTGGAAATTAGCATAAATTTCCTTTAATTCTTGTATTATCTAAAAAATGTCCAATATTTTTTATATATTACAATCATGTCGTTTTTTTCTTACATTACTTACTAAATAACCCCAATTTGGAACTTCAATTTCTGAATCGTTATGCTTCTTTATTGGATAGATAAATTGCTTCGAAACTTCAAATTTGGAACCGAAGCTTTGGTAAACAAACCTGTTCGGAGCTTCAAGACTCGAATCAATCGAATTTATTTGACGATCATAGTAATTTTATAGATTGTGAACTAAAAGCACAGAAATTACAAAGGTAACAACGAAATCAAATAACCCAGAAATAGTCAACTCTTGCAAAGAGACACCCCTCTTAGCGAGTCCATTGGGCAACATAAGCCTGAAGTGAGACTCCAAAGAACTGCGGATATCCATAATTTACAGCCAAGCTATCCTTAAATTCCAAGGTAAACATTGTTTTTTATTGCACCACTTAATGATATTTAATGAATCCCGCTACCAACCAACCAACCAAATGTGCTTCAATATGTTTATCCTTGAAAATTCTCAAACCTTACAAAAGGGAATAATTTATGTTTGATTTGCCGTTATACATCCCTACGGCCCACCATAACAAAAAACTACATTTCCATCTTAATTCCAAATTACTTCACCCACTCCTGCTAGTCCCAAGTTTCCTAAAGAGCTTTCATTAAAATTTAACTTAGCACAACTTAGCAAAGGCAGCTCCATCTACCGATCGGCCTAACCTTTGGATAAGACGAATTAATTAAGGTCCTCAGATGAAGCTAGATGTCAACTCTAGAAGCACCCCATCCCTCTTTGGTAACAAAAAAACCAACTCCATAAAATATGTAAAATTTGTTTTTTAATCCAATTTCCACTCAAAAGAGTTTCATAAAATGTTCTTCGATTTCTTTCATTACAGATTTCCCACGGAACAACCACCCTTAAGATTTTTCAAATCTTCTTCCTGACTTTGGCAATCCCGAGAAATTTAAATGTAATATCCCTGGGTCCCCTAATCAACATCATTACTAAACCCATTATGTGATAGGCCCACTACCAAATATTAGATAAAAAGGGCAGTCCAAGAACAAGTTTTGAATCAATCCAATAGAAACAAATCATTAAGCCCATCAGGCACTTGGTGTTTTGAACCATTTCACATGTATTTTTCACGAAAGGGAAGGGTAGGGCCTAAATCCCATTGATTTACCCTTTCCTTTGACGATCTTTTTCTCTAGAATAAAGGATTGGTTCGGAACTTGAAGTTCCAAACCTATCTTTCTCTCTAAGGAATAAAAAAATTAAATAGATTAATTTTTTAGTTTTAAGGTTCGAAATCAACGACGCTTAGTTTTTTCACCAAACAACTAGTTACAAACATCATAATTGATTTACAAAAATAGTTGGTTCAGAACTTGATAGTTGAGAACTGATCTTGGTCAAATAGAGAAACAACCCTGTTTTGACTTGGAGTTTTGACTCAAGGGCATTTTAGAAAAATAAAAATACACAACAACATGAGTAGAAAATACGAAACGGCAATGAAAAAAGAAAAAAGAGTAACAATCTTATAAGGCCCCCTCACACCTATGTGTGTAGGATATCAAAGGATCACTATTACATTTGATACGAATATCTAGAAAAATTATCACATAAGTGTGTGACTTGACTTTTTTAGATATCTGTGTCAAATTTAATGATGATCCTTTGATGTTCTACACACATGGGTGTGGGAGGGTCTCACAAAGTTATTTTCCAAAAAAAAAATA